TAAATGGAGAGCCCATAATTCATGATTTAAATCCCCCTTAAGAGGGACAGGTACTTCCTGAGAAGGAAAATGTCTTTGATGAGACATGTGCTCCTGAAGTGGTAGTTGTCCCCGAAAGCCAAGAAATCTACATAAATTGTACATCCACTAATGAATTGTGGAACAGAAATGAGATGATCATCGATAATATATTTGCATTCTTAGTGGCTACTGAGATCATAAAAGTTGATGATATTGAGCCTTGCTCCATTGATGAATGCACACAGAGACAGGATTGGCCTAAGTGGAAAGATGCAATCCAGGCAGAATTACTCTTTGGAAAAAAAAAAGGAGTGTTTTTGGACCCGTTGTTCCAACTCCACTCAATGGGAACCCTGTAGGTTACACGTGGGTATTTACAAGAAAGCGCAATGATAAAAATGAGATTGCAAGGTATAAAGCACGACTTGTTGCGGAAGATTTTTCACAAAGGCCTGGAATTGATTATGTGGAAACATACTCTCCAGTAGTGGACGCAATTACGTTCCGTTACTTGATAAGCTTAGCGGTTTCAGAAAAACTTGAAATGAGACTTATGGATGTCATTACCGCATATCTATATGGAGAGTTGGATACAGACATATACATGAAAGTCCCAGAAGGAATTAAACTGCCTGATGCAGCAAGTAATAAACCACGGGCCGTGTTCTCAATCAAATTGAGAAGATCATTATATGGGTTAAAACAATCTGGGCGAATGTGGTATAATCGTCTCAGTAAGTATTTACTAAAGAAAGGATACACAAATGACCCTATCTGCCCATGTGTGTTTATTAAGAAATCAGAGTCTGGATTTGCGATAGTGGCGGTATATGTTGATGATATGAATCTAATTGGAACTCCTGAAGAGCTCCAAAAGGCTGCTGATTATCTCAAACGCGAGTTTGAGATGAAAGATCTTGGAAAGACAAAATATTATCTTAGCCTACAGATTGAGCACAGTGCTGATGGAATTTTGGTGCATCAATCAAATTATACTGAAAAAATATTACAGCAATTTGGCATGGATAAAGCTCATCCACTTAGCACACCAATGGTCGTTCGGTCGTTCGACACTAAGAAAGATCCATATCGTCCAAAATGGGATGATGAAATGGTCCTTGGTCCAGAAGTACCATACCTTAGTGCAATAGGTGCTTTAATGTATTTAGCACGATGCACCAGACCTGACATATCATTTTCAGTAAATTTGTTAGCAAGATACAGCTCTGCTCCAACAAGCCGACATTGGACCGGTGTTAAACATATTCTACGATATCTTCGTGGAACGACAGACATGAGCTTATTCTATTCCAGTGAATTGACCAATGCCCCGAGTATTGTTGGGTATGCTGATGCAGGATATCTCTCTGATCCACATCAAGGACGCTCACAAACTGGGTATGTGTTTACTGCAATCTCATGGCGCTCAACAAAGCAAACGTTGGTAGCCACATCTTCCAATCACTCAGAAATACTTGCCCTCCATGAAGCCAGTCGTGAATGCGTTTGGTTAAGGGCAATGATTCATCACATTTGAAGCACCTATGCCTTGCCCTCAACAACGGACACTCCAACCGTCCTAAATGAAGACAATGCAGCTTGTATTGCTCAAATCACAAGAGGGTACATCAAGGGAGACCAGACCAAGCACATATCACCAAAGTTTTTCTACACGCATAAGCTTCAGAAGAATCAAGAAATCAAAGTCAGACAAATCCGTTCAAGCAATAACTTGGCAGATCTCTTCACCAAGTCTTTACCCAAGTGCACATTCCAGAAGCTAGTGCATGGCATCGGATTACGACAACTCTGCAAGCAATCAAATTGGAGCATGCAAAATCAAGGGGAGCATTCAAGAGTCCTCTAACACAGGACATAAGCGAGTTGTACTCTTTTTCCTTCGACTAGGATTTTTCCTAGCAAGGTTTTAACGAGGCAACATGATCGTACTTCACATTACTCTAATGTCCAAAATAAAGTTGTACTCTTTTTCCTTCGCTTAGGTTTTTTCCCACTGGGTTTTTCCAGGCAAGGTTTTAATGAGGCAACTAATCTAGGGATATGTGGTCTCCAAGGGGGAGTTGTAAATAGTGGAATAGTGGAGCCCACATGAAATGATGAAGTTTGAAAATAAGGCAGAAATTGCCCTGTACACTCACGGATGAAAATGATGGTTTGAAAAATGAGGCAGAAGTTGCACTGTACGCTCACGAGAAAACTTCAGAAGCGCCTATAAATAGGCTTGTTCATTTGTAATACACACCAACAAAAGAGAAGAAAGAAAGGAGAGTAAGAAATCTGAGTATTAGTGAGTGATTTTCTATTTGAGAGGAAATTCGGTCATTGCAAACACCACAAGAAAAGATATAATTCCATTACCAATTTTTCAGTGGTAATTCCATACTCTAATTATTTTATTTTATAACACAAGCCTATTTATAAGCGCTTCTGAAGTTTTCTCGTGAGCGTACAGTGCAACTTCTGCCTCATTTTTCAAACTATCATTTTCATCCGTTTCATCCGTGAGTGTACAGGGCAATTTCTGCCTTATTTTCAAACTTCATCATTTCATGTGGGCTCCACTATTCCACTATTTACAACATTCTTTTCTTTCTTTTATTTTACTTTTCTTTACTCATTTTTAGTTTCCAATTTGTGTTGTGTTAAATAAGTGTTCTTTACGTACTCAAGAGTAGAACTTTTAATAAGCCGACAGTTCTTCGTGGAATCGACCTCGTACTTACAGAATCTATACCCCTATGAATTCGTGCACTTGCGGGTATTTTTAATTGGATGATTAGCACATTAATTTGTGTCAATTATTAATACAACAATTTTTGGCGCCGTTGCCGGCCCCGTACTTATCTGTTTTGTTTGAGTATGTTTAGAGTACTTAGTTCATTTTCATTTATTGATTGTTGTTTCATTTTGTCTTAATTTATTTCTTTTTCTTAAGAGGCATGATTTGCATATGTCCCTTGCAGAGCTAGACATTTCCCTAAATTGCACTCTGCAAAAGGCAAGACAGCACTCCGGAAATCCGAAGTGTTGTTGGCTCCCTAATCAAAAGAAGTCTATTTAAACCACATCTCGGTTAAGTTGAGGAGTGCCCTATATTTCTTCTTGAAAACTCATAGAAAATTATCAAATGATCAAGAAAAACAATGGCAACCTCATTCACTCCCCTCGACGATCTCAATATGGATTTATCCCTTACGCCACCGTCAACCCAGATAAATGCTCCTCCAAATCCTGTCTTCCCAAACTCCTCCTACCATAATGGCACGACCTCAGCCTTCTCTAAGGCAATGCCGAACAGAACAGTACTGCTAGGAGGCATGATTGTCAGTAGACTCACATCGGCAGATCATCGGCATATAGCACAAAGGTTTGACAGGGTTGCGGTATAGGAGTCTCACACCTTAACCATGCACCACGCAGCCTCGGCTACAAATTTAAGTCTACGACTACTAGCGAGGACGCGAGAGTGTACATCGCTAATTGAGAAAGTGGCTTCCTTGAAGGCTCAGGTGGCAAAATTGCAGAGAAGGCTCTACTATTCCAACCTGCTCTCTTCTCTGCAAAAAGAATAATGCTCAAAGGATGGCTGATGCCTCCTTTGCTCATCATTTTCTCTCCTTTACAACTCACTTAAATATTAAACTTCATCTTTTGCTAAAACCTTTAGGATTTGTTTTTTCCTTGTCTCCTTGCCATGATGGAGTTTTGTTTTTAAATACATTCCAATGCTCAGAAAATCCCACTTCAACAAGGAAATTCATTGTTACCAAATGATATGGTAACAAGTCAAATTAGGATGACATCAAGTGGAGGTGAAACTGACCCAAAATAGATTTCCAGAGCTAGGATCAATTGTTGGATCGATTGGCTACGCAATACTTGCTCAATGGAGCTCAAATTCGGATATGTTGTAGTCAACATCCGTTAGAACAAGTTTCATGAAGATCCTCACCTCATTCGAGCATCGGAGCATACTGATCCAAGGCCCAAACACATCAAGGAATTGAAATCCTGATTTTGGAGCAATTCAATTCTTGAGTGGGAAATAGCATTCTAATTCCGGGAGAACTAACCCATTAGGAATTCATCTTTTTTACCCATTATATCCTCACACAATTTCAAAAATTCAAAATTTGTCATCTACTTTAACCTAACAACGAGGGCATTTTAGTAATTAGTACACTCCTACCCCAATTCCATATGATTTAGTAAACAACTTCAATAGGAATTTGGAATATAACTCCCCTCAATCCATATGATTTAGTAAACAATTTCAATAGGAATCCGAATTCTAATTCTCCTCAATCCAACTCCTCAATTCAATTCATCCTCAATATGCCATTAGTCAATCCATATTTGATCCAACATAGATTGAATTACGAACTTCACAATCCAATTCATTCAATTGGACCGGATTGGATGATCAATTTTCATTAACGAAAAAGAAACGCATTTAATGAAAACACGTTATTTCAAATCAAGTCCAATATCCTAAACATAATTCCATCAAATTAAGTAAACTTTCATAATCTATTCAATATCAAATGCTTAATTATACAAACAAAAAGTTTCAGACAAACCAGACTAGATTTGAATACCACTACATGCTCATGCCAAAAGCTTCAACAGTTTTATATGCTGAAGCCAATGATGTGTAGGGATTTAGAGAGAGAGGTGGTGCAATGGCAGCCTGCACCCAGTAAATGAGCTGAGATTTTGTTATTTTTTTTATTTTTTTTATTTTTTTGTTCTATTGCATTCTCACAGTTTATTAGAGACCTTGTGCTTGTGCAAGCACATGCTCGGGCCTCTCACAAGAATATTCAGCATTAGCATTTGACAGATAATCAACTCTAGCATCACCAATGTAACAAGTCAACCTTTCGGTTGCCTTGTCTCCATTGAAGTTTATATCTGACCTCAAAAGTGAAAGAGTTGAAATCGGCTGCTGATATTACCTTGAGGGTTGTAGCTGAAGGTTATAGTACTTGCTCAAGACACTCCGTCAGAATACTCAGCAAAACTGAGTTTTGGACATTAAGTCCTGAGCGGTAGAATGGGAGAAAAATGGTTAGGATACAATTCATGGTCCAAATTTGAAAAAGGTACTTCTCTTCAAAGTTACCAGCAAAAAGTACATAAGGAATCAAAAAATCCAGATTTAAGTATTAATAATATACTAGAAAGACTCAAAAAGAATTCTGTAGAAGAATAAGCTTTTTCCCAAATAAAAAACAACATATCATATTATGGGGGAGCTAAAATCAAAAGAAGTTTAGCCTTCTGGGTTCTTTCTGATGATATGTGAAAGTTTGGATTAATAAATAATAGGTTTTCATGAATTTACCTCCTAAGCATAGTCCATATACATAAGTTAGGCCACATCTCCTACAAGAGCAGATAAACCGATACGTTGATCATAACTCTGACTGCCTCATTGCCTGGAGGTAATAAATTAACAGGAAAATTTAGGATAAGAAAGAAAGAAACTAATTGGCTAAAATCATGTATCCCAAGGCAGATTAATCCAACTTCCCTATGACAGCATGGTGACTTCCATGTTCACAACTATTGCCAAGTCGTTTGCGAATTCTGCTAAACAAATCGATCAAGCGTAACTGCATATGCATCCACTGTGACATTTCTGTTTTTCCATCCCCTGTAATATTTCAAGAACTATTAAAAATAACTTCTTTATCTAGACAGATTTCAAGTCAGAACAAATGGATGCAGAGCTGAACTGAAAAAAAAACAATCAAATGGAAATATGTTGGAGGAAACAGTCATATAATTAAGATGTGTGATAAAACAATTGCAGTTCCAAATTCTGGGATAGATATACATCAGCATAGTTTGTCCACCAACTACTTCTAAGTAGCAAAAATCAGAAAGGTTATTTTTTATACCTCTAGGATAAGCAGAACTACTGTTTATTATTTTCGGCTGCTGCCACAACTTTCTTTAAGATAGCTTCAATTGGTTGATGGGAGTTATCCACGGCCTTTGAAATAGGTTGCCATATTTCTCCATGCTTTGGCTCTGCAGCAACGCATCTGTTCAATACATCCTTTTGGTTCTCCTCAGTACCATGCTGAAGTTCAAATTTGTAGTATAAAGCCCAAAAATCCCCAATATCGGGGGCAAGCGTTACTGCCATGTTGAGCCAATTCCTAGCTTTGTCCAACTTCCTGTCATGCCATAATAACTTGGCCACAGCAGCAACAACATGGGGATCATGACGACATTTCTCAAGGGCATCTTTACTCTTTGCCTTCCGTTGGGTACGAGCTACCATCTCGAGAGCTGCTGCCCACAAGATACCACTATTGGGACACTCCTGCAAAGCCTTTGCCATCAAAATATCAGATTCCTTCTTCTTGCCATGCCTCAGTTCAGCTCGAACAGAAGCAAGCCACAGTTCAGAGTTCTGAGGGTTCTTCTTCCTGGCAATTGTAAGAACTGCGCGAGCTTTACTCAGCCCAATCATTTTCTCCTCTAGATTAGCAAGAGAAAGCCAGAGTTGTAGATAATTGGGGCAGTGCTTCAGACCTGAGTGATAGGCCTTTTTGGCTTTTTCCAAATGATCAAGCCGTTCCTCTAGCTGTCCAAGCATTAACCACAATTTAAAGAATGAAGGGAAGCGCTTCAAGCCTTCAACAAGAAACTTCCTCTCCTCATCAATGTTCCCTAATTCCCTCTCAACAATTGCAGATTTCATCCATACTCTTTCGTTACCTCCCCTTTCTCGGGCTTTGGCAAGAAGCATCTTTGCTCTCTCGGATTCGTGATTCTCAAACTCAAGTTTAAATGCAGCAAGCCAAATTTCTTGAGAGTTGGGAATGGCAGCATAAGCTTCTTGGAGGATTGCACGGGCAGCAGGCACGTCCCCTGCAAGCCACTTCTCCTTAGCACCAAAAAGCCACAAGTTTTCAGCCTGTGGGCAATACGTCACCGCTTTACGAAGCAAAGCAACAAGAGATTCCCTAGTACCATGGCTCTTTTCAAGCTGAGCCGCTTTCCTCCATATGCTCTTCTTGGTTAAGAAGACAGTAAGTGCGTGCGCATAAATTGCTCGGGCTGTTTCAATGGAACCTTTTTTCATGAAGTCCTCTGCATCAGAAACCCATGTCCTCTTCCTATCTTCCTCCTCCACACCAATCCCAATTGCGCTCCGAATGATAGCTTGGCAAGTCATTATAGACCCTGCACGCTCAGCAGCTTCAGCCTCCTTCATCCATGCTTCTCTATCAATAATAACCGCTGTTTTTTGCAAAGCCCTAATACCTCTTTCAATAATCTTCCCAACCATGGACACATTCCCATTAGCTTCTTCCAACTTTGCTGCGGTGATCCAAATTGCAGCCTCCTCCGATAGATTCTCCCTTGCCTTATTGAGGACCTTCTTGGCATTCTCATAAGTTTCCAATCTTGTGAGTGCAAGCCAGAATTCAATGTGCAATGGACAACACTCCACAGCCCTTTTGAGCAGACTTCTAGCATCCTCCTCATTCGCTAGATCCACGACCGCCTTCCACAGCCTAACAGAACCAGGAATGTGTTCCAACCCTTTCCTCAAGACCCTGCTCTTGTTCAAATTATCATGCTCCAATTTCGCAGCCTCCATCCACAAGTTGACTGAATTGGGAATAAATTTAACTCCCTTAGCAATAACAGCCTTAGCATCTTTGGGGCTAGCAAGCCTACAAGCCTCCAACCACACATCCTCACTCTTAGGACACTCCTCACACCCTTCCTGAATCAATTTCCTGGCTGACTTCATCTTTCCTGCCACTTCCTCAAACCTTGCTGCCGAAATCCACACACGTGGGTTCTTAGGATTTGACTTCATTAAACTCATCATCAACAATCTAGCCTTGTTTTTATCATGAATGTCTGTATCACTTGTGATGCTCATACTTTTAAGATCAGTAAGATACCCTTTTGGGTCAACAACTGTCAACCCCGAGACAGAATCCGAAATCCTATCCAATTTCAAAGACAACACTATATCTCTGCCCTGCCTCACGGCAGTCAAATCTGTACTAGTGGGATCTATTGCAGTAACAAGCTCTTTCTCCTGCGTTGCCTTCTCCAAAAGGGTATCCAGCACCGGCACAAAGCTCTCAAACCTCCTCTTCTTGTTTCTCATTGAATAATCCCCAATTTCAGGTATACTCTCCCATTCTTGGGCAGACAATGTGTGCAAATTCCTCTTCAAACTTGCAAACTGCTCTGTAATCTTGGGATTGGAAGCTCTGTACTTTTCAATCTCTTCTCTCAACAGAGCCTCTTTCCTGTCCTTTCTCCTGGAGTCCATTCTCTCATCAACTGCTTTCCACATTGCATCAGCCTTTTCATCATCTTCATCCAGTTTGGCATCTGGTGCCAACAGCCCAACATCGTTGCCTTCGAAATCATCAAATTGCTGACTCTCATCGTACCCTTTTTCCTCCTCTGCTTCCTCAGGCTGCCCAATTGCCCTATCGGGCAGCTCCAGGGCAGATCGGGCAGGCCCAATGTCGGACCTTGTGGTGAACCCAGAAGCACCACGGCCAAGCCCAGCGACATAACCCTCAGGAGGCTTGGAATTGTGGAAATCGAGGCGGGGTTTGGGATTTTTGTGGGGTAGGGTGCCACCGAAGAAGGGGACGTGGAGGGTTAGGGTAGAGTAGGGTTTGATGCCAAGGTCGGCGAGGAGGGTGGAGCCTCTTTGGGTCAACAATTGGAGGCTTTGGGAGATGAATAGGCGCTGGTGAGAGACGGGTACGTTGGAAATTTGTTCAATTTGGAATTTCAGAGATTGGAGGGTGGTGGTGTTTGGGTTTAGGTTTAGGGTTAGGGTTTTGTGGTTGGGGGATGCGATGAACACCATTGTTGTGATTCTGTGATTATTGCGAGTCTTTGAATCTTGAAAACTCACTCTGCTCTCCAAGAGTTTGCTGCAAACCTGGAATGAAAGGCAAAGTTTGTGTTGTGAGGCATGAGATTAATATATAGAGCGGCATTTGGGTTTCCTACGGAATAGGAATAGGAATAGGAATAGGACTAGGATTATTAATAGGCTTGAAGTTGGTTTTGTGCGGTCTTTTTCTTCCCAAGTGAGAGAGGAGACGGAAAACGCGCTCGGTGGACCAAAGATGAAAACACGGAAAATGGTTTTCCGGCATAAGAGATTTTTCTTCCAAACCTCCTCTTTTTCATTGATTTATCATGCCCAGATTGTAGATTCATAAATATTTGATAGCAGCAAAGTACTCAATAAGCATAACCAGCTAGAATTACTCAACATACCTTCTCTCACATCATCTACCAGATTCAGACACAGTGCCCGCAATCACGTTTGCCAATTGACCTCCCCACTTGAAAGAGATCAACGATGTGAGTCTTGGCGACGAAAACATCCTTGCATTTTTTATCTTTCTAATTTCAGTTGAGGGAATGAAATTTCTTCAAGACTTTTGGGAGCTAACAAAACAACCAGTGGTGTTCAGATTGAAATAACCAGTGGTTTGGTTATATTAGTAACTAGAGAAATTCTCCAATAAATATTCAAGTTAAGTATGAGTTACATATTTTTAATTTCCACAGTTGGACCAATACATTTCATTAATACAATCCAATGGACTAAATTAAAAGTATATAACCAATGCGTAATATAAAATATTTATTAAAGAATCTCCATTAGTAACTATAACGATGTAACATAAAATAATCAATTATATTGACCCAAAAATAAAATAAATTATCCCCCTGATCTCTAGAAAGCTCTGACGTTTTTGTTTTTGGTAGGATAATTTTAGCCTTTAAAAACTATTATAATTCTATTTTATTTGTTGATTTACACTTTTTTTTCTTCCGGATTAGACAAAATGAGTTTTACAATTGGCTTACAAGCTGATTACATGATTTATTTTCAATGAAAATTGCAAAAAGACTTGAGATAAGTGACACATACATTATTTATGTTACCAAACACGCTTTCACTGTTGTTACAAGCTGAACTCTTTTTATTTTCTGAAACTGTATTCTAATTAAGCTACAAAATGCATTCTTAGATCTCAAAAATTAAATTGGAGGGCTCTTATCTTGTGGGCAAAGGAAAGGGATGGTCCGAGATTCTTTTTTTTTTTCTCTTCTGAATTGTTTCCTTGTGTTTGATTCACGCTGTGAATCTCTTTTCAAGATTACGCTATTATTCCTACCTCTCATATTTGAGTTTCGGATGGTTTCCTTGCTATCTTTTGTACTCTTTTCCAAAAAGATAAATAAAGGAAAGGGATGGGCCCAATGGGTGATGACAAAAAATATTTCCCTTCTAATTTTAATTTTTTTTTTAATTTTATTTTCAAATTTCGTTGTTAAAAATGAGAAGTGATGCGCACATAGTTTAAGAATCTTAATAGTGATCCTAAGTTTTTTAAATTAAAAGGTAATATTCTTTTTAAATAAAAACTACTATTAGGGAATGAGGAATTAAAATATAGGATCTCATGTATACTCATTGATCTAAACACTTGAACTACAAGTTTCTTCTTAATGAAAATTGATATGTTTAATCTAAGAGATAGCTAGAGATGAAGGAATTGAAACCTAGAGTGAAGGCACTACTTACATTTTTTTTCATAATTCCTTCTAAGGCAAGTCAAGTTTGCTTCACTTTAATGTGATGTGAGCATCTGATTTTTAGGTGTCAACAAGAATATATACATACAATGTTGATTTATGTTGATTTTTATTTTTATTGCCAAAGTTAGAAAGGGGAAGGGAGGGAAACTCACACACACGAGTACCATGAGGGTTTTAACTCATGACCACTTGAGTGCACACTAAAGATCTGGGCCAATACAACGACACCCGTGATAATAACATTTTTGGTTTAATAACAAAATTGAGAGGATGAGTTCGAATTTGAATTTGAACTAAATTTTCTTTAGCTATATTAGAACTACAAATCCCACCAAGAATTTCAATTTTGAAACTTTAGAATGCATACACTCAAACGGAGAAACAAAAGAAAGTAAATAAATAAATAAAAATCCTCGTAATAATATAGACTTATTAAAAAAAACCTTTTTTGATTTATTTGCTCTGCTGTAAAATTACCAATAACAGAGTTGGTGCTTGTAAGCACAACTCAGGCGACCATTTTGTTTGCGTATTTAGAAGCCGAGTCCTTAGCTCTGACGCGTCTTGGTCCCGGTAAAATCGGTAACTTTAATTATTGTTAAGCCCCTGTATTTCCTCGTATCTATATGTTTATCTTTTCTTGCAACTCTTTTAATTGCAGATTTGTCCTCTTTCTTTTTTGTTCTTAAATTAATACAAAACGCATTCAACATCTTGTTTTACATTTTATAATAACTCAATTATGAAGAACAAGGAATTTCTTGGTCATTCCATTATAACAAATTATCATATTTCAAGATTTTATTACCGACATTTAAAAAGTAAATCCTAGAATACGTGCATTTAAAAAGTAAATCCTAGAATACGTGCAATCACACTCAAACTTTGCAAATCATATAACTACAAGTGCTTTACGTACTTGTACAAATTTAGGGAAATAAGCAATTATCGTATAAATGGATAGCTAAAGTCAAATATACTAGAAATGAAGGGATCGATATGCAAATACATTGCCTGAAAAGGAATTTACAGGAAAAATGTGAAGGACCAACGAAGCACCTAAAAAAAATATATTAGGCAAAATATGAAGGCAGGCAGCTATATAAACAAGCCTACATCCGCCTCTACCGTCAGAGAACAACACAAATCTCTCTCAGAGTCTCTCTCCCAACTAATTTCAAATCTCGTCTCTTTTTCCTTCATTTTCTTTCACTTTCTCAGCCTTTCTTTTCTCAAGAGTGGGAGAGAGACTCAGATACATACGAAGATTACAGAGATTAATAAGAGAGCAAAATGGGGATGAAGTTTGTGGAGATTTTGGATCAAGGAGCGAGAATAGTTTCCAGGTCTTATTCTCATTGCCCCCAAACCAGCCGGTTGTACTACCATCCTCCCGTAGCTAAACATGAAGACTGCCACCATCACCAGCACAACCAACATTTTGGGGGTGGCACCACCACCTCCAGTGACGGTGATGCCACCACGTCCCAGAGGCACTCATTGGGTTCCAGGGCAGCGGCTGATGATACTAATGAGTTTATTCTTTTTTCTGTTTGATTAATATTCAGGCAAAAGTGTAATACATACTTACACGGATATTGGTTATGTTATACTCGTTTATTTGAGAGAGACATATATACTATAATGCAACCCAAAAATTAAAAGAAAGCAGGCACTAGCTTAGCTAATTTGGCTAGGGTGGATATACTCCCATTTTACACCCGAATTTGAATTCATCTCCCATTTGGCTAGGGCGGATATACTCCCATTTTACACCCGAGTTTGAATTCATCTCCCTCTAGTTTAGATTAGTTTAAAGTTAAATATTGCTTATATAAAAAAATATTTAAAAAAAGAAAAAAAACAAAAGCTATGTATTTATTCATGTTGTTTTTCAATACTTTCTCTTCATGACCAAGGAAGGAAGCATGACTTGGCCTTGTTCACTCGTACTAATTGGTTTTAGGTTACAAGACTAATATATACACCCAACATAATTCAAAGGTACACGTAATATTCAAACATCTAACTTATTTCCTCTTCTCTTGCAAGCTTTCCAAAGAATTGAAGCTCAATCCTTATTTAACATGACCACTGTAAACGAGTTTTTATGATAGATACCACACGCTAGTATACCTTTGACTTTCATATAATTTTCTTTATGCGATTTTCTGAAAATAGATTGGTGAGGTTTGATCTCCTCTATCAAATGAAATCAAATCTCATCCCTAGATGCTGTTAGGATGGAAGATCCCGCATTAACAACATAGCAAATCCTAGAATGGCTTAAGAGCTCTTGGGCACCCTTCCTTTACAAGCCGGTTTTGAGGGCAAATTTTACCCGTGAGCTCTTAACAGATATGTAACTTTGAGATTTGCAGCTGATTCCTTGGGGAGGTATGCAAGAAGAATAAAATTGGAGGTGAAAACCACAAGTACAATGTACATATAAACGTGGTCAAAATATAAATTTTAATTTTCATGCAAACTGACATTGATAATTGATACAGCAAACTTTAATGAGCATATAACTTTCAACTAAATACAGCAATTACCAGTAAATCAAGTATAAATTTAACTTGCAAGTTCTAAAACTCAATCTGGTTCATGACAAGGATTCAATGCTTTCTTCAAAATCTAAAATTTTACCAACATTACAAGTCAAATGGGAATTACCATAACATATGCTCGCTAGATATCCTCCATATAGTAAGCAATGGACACCAAGCTTAAAAATACATATCCTTACCTGGTTGTTATATCCCTCTGCTTCACTTCCAGATATTCTTCTCTCAGCCCCACACTTAGAAGCCACTTCAGTGCCCTTAGATCGAACAATATCTTCCCCTACACTGGAATATCTTACCGTACCAAGCCAGCTGAAATCTATAGGATTCTTAACCACTCTCAGATACTGGCAACCGAGACCCAAAAAGTTCCAAACATTCTGTGTAAAATTAGTGACACAATCGATGAACTCATTTGATACATAGTCAAAATCTGCATGTCGAACTTGACCATGAAATGAGTCGGTTTCAAATTTATCTACCAGTGAGCAGTTTGGACATCTATACTTTCCAGTAGAACTTGGGTTTGACACAGGTAGATCCAGTTGGACAAACTGACTCCAGACTGAGCTTCTAGCAAGAGTTAGCAAGGACTCTCCTGCACTCAACCAGAAATTCGCAACAGATACGATTAGGGAAGATTCAGAGCAAAACAGATGGTGAGTTGCACCTGCAAGTAACAAGGAGTATGCTGCGCTGGTCCTGCTCAAGTCTAAAGCATTCAATAGATGATCATCCATTTTGGAATATAAAGCTGATAAGTCAGTAGCACGGATTTTATACACTGAAGCCAATGTTGTGTAGGCATTTAGAGAGAGGTGGTGCAAGGGGTGCAACCAGTAAGTCAGCTGAGATGTTTCTTCCTTGCACTCTGACTGCTTATCAGAGAGACCTTGGGTAAGCACATGCTCAAGCCTCACAGAAGAAGATTCAGGATCACCAATTGACAGGTAGTCATCTATAGCATCATCAATGTAATTGATCAACCTTTGGGTTGCCTTATCTCTATCAAAGTTTATATCTGAACTCAAACTGGAAGAGTTGAAATTGGCTGCAGATATTTCCTGGAGTATTGAGCCAAAGGTTAATAGTTGTCCAAGATACTCCACCAGAACATTCAGTTATATCCAGGTAGAATAGAAGAAAAATTGTTAGGGTGGTACTTCATGTTCAAGTTGAAAAGGTACTTTTGTTCAAAGCTACCAGAAAACCCTATATAAATAAGGGGAGCAAAAAAACAAAAGTTACATACTAATACTAGTGGATCTGGAAATTTCTGTAAAACCATTATTATAAGGATATTTGGGGATAACTCCGAACATACTTAAGAATTAGTATTTAATTCAGAGTACGAATATAATTGTAGAACCAGCGATAATATCAAAATAACATTTAGATAAACATCCATCTTCATTCTTCAGCGCCACAAATCTGGAACTCAGGCATGAGGGTAGGCATAAGTCAGACATTTGGCTTGAATTCTTAAATTACTGCCATGTTCATAACAGTATAGAACCAAAGAACTACTAGATTTTTAGGCATGCAGTCGTAAGAAGGCGGAGTTGAAGGTTCAAACAGTAGGAAGGGACAAAATGAGGAACCCACCAAGTTACTTTACCTCACTGTGGTTATTTAGAAGAAAAGTAGGCATGGCTGAAATGATCAGGACTATATGGATCCTTGAGGTCAGAGGAATGATACAAATAGGTAATAAAATGATGCACACAACAAAAATAATAGAGAAGTTAGTCACCATGTTGCAATCATAATCTTTTTGGATATCAGCTTGAACCCAACGATTTCTGAAAGTTCATACTAAGAAATAATAGGTTTTCATGAATTCCCACCTCCAAAACCTGATCCACATAAGTTAGGGGTGACGCACTACATCTCGTACAAGAGCAGATAAACCGATACCTTGACCATAACTCTGACTGCCTCATTGCCTGGGGGTAATCATGACAAAATATACAATCACAAAGAAAGAACTTCTTAACATAGAACATAAATGCAATAATTTTTTTAGGGAAATAAGCAAATGATAAGTCGAATCGCCAAGGATTTGGGTAAGCCCTGTATAGCAGAAAGAAGCTGGATTGTCTTGCTAAAGCCAGTTTGTGGAGAAATTAAAGATACCTTTGGCTGCAACAAGTCAGTGTAGGTAACTGTAACTTCCTCTCCTTTCTTGATTCTCTTGATGCTCCTAACTATCACTCTTGGACCATAACTACCGCATTCTGCATTCATATTGGCTAAAGTTCAACAATACAGGGAAATCTCAAACTCTAATTCAAACAAACAGAAGAAATTAAACGTGAAAAGAAAGCAATAAGGACCACAACACCTTTTATAAATACATTATTGCTACAAACACCACTCTCAATCTGCAACAAATATCAATCTCACAGCTCTGAATTTTATAGCTGAAAATACTAAATTAAAAAGAAAAAATGGAAATAGTAAAAATTTCAAGGATTACTTGTGTTCCTTGGCCGAAGGGGGCAATGCGGAGAGGCGTCTTTTCAGCTGAGCAAGGTGGTGGCGGCGGCGACACCAAAAACCGGTAGCAAGCATTGGGAGAGCAGCTGTGGTTGATCCAGCAGAAGCTGGGACCGTAGACGGAAATTCCAAGGGTACGCCCGGTCTTATCCTGCACCTCCACGGCGTTGGTTAGCACCAGGCACAGCGCAGCCTCCTCCAAGACGGCGTCGTCTGGAGAAACTGAAGAAGAATTATCGGAACAGACGTTTGGAGCTTCGTCGCGCATCTTTCTGGCAAGGAACATAGCCCTGGCGCCGTCGCGAATTCTGTGGTGGTCGTCGTGGTGGAGGAGCTTGTGGTGATTGGTTAAGAGGCCGGCGATGCGCGCGGAAGGACGCGTGGCGGGAAGGGAGTGGAGGAGGCGGAGGGCGGCGCGGAGGTCGGAGGAGTCGCCGTGGGGGTACGTGGAGGGGTGGGATTGGAGAAGGTGGAGGAGGTGGGGCTCGGCGCTGGACATGTGGAGGGGAGAATCGGAAGTGGAGCAGAGAGGGGAGCAGTAGGAGGAGGAGGAGTGGACATGGTTGGGATTATGAGGAAAGGTGGGGGTAAAGTGGAGAGGAGGGAAAGGGTGGGGAGGGAGGAGAGAGAAGCAGTAAGAGCAGTGAGAGGAGAGAAGGGAGTCGTGGAGAGCGAAGGAGAGGGGAGTGAGTGGTGGGGTTATGTCTTCTCCTATCTCTATGCCTTCCTCAGCTCTCATTTCCATCTCCATCTCCATCTCCATTGCAGCTTTGCTCAGGGATTATTAATAAATAGTATTAACAATCTGGACATAACAATGTAGCATAATTTGAACGAAAAAGTGCAACAACATAATTTGAAAAGAAAAAAAAAATTGTAACAACATAACATATTTGATTGTTAGAATTTAGAAAATAAAAAATTAATCAATATTTGGGGAAGGGTTATACAGAAATCTTGAGGCTCCTTTTTATATTTTTTTTAAAGGATAAATTACTCAAATGGTCTCCAAACTTGTACACGATTTACATTTTGGGGCCTCAATTAAATTATTCGTTCAAATGGTCCATGAACTCTATATTAATCGCTCCATTGGTCCTATCGTCTAATTTTCTGTTAGATTTAACCAAATTTTAGGGTAAATAATGACCAATTTGCCCTCATATTTAACGGAAATATTGACAGAATGTAACCGTAGGACCATTAGAGCGAATAATATAAAGTTGATGGACCATTTGAATGAATAATTTAATTGAGGCCCCAAAATGTAAATCACGTACAAGTTTGGGGACCATTTGAGTAATTTACCCTTTTTTTTAATTAAAAACAATCTTAAGGGAGGGGGATTCAAACAGGAATTCAAATAGAAGGATACTGCTTTTAACCATTTGAGCTACAAACTCGCAAAATCTTGAGGCTGTTTAGTTTTGAATTGATCATACGCAGTAAGCAATTACTTCTCAGAAGGACTCGTATCTCTTCACCAATTGCCAATTGAACTTGATTTTTATGCAAAAACATCCAAGCTCAACTCTAAGATAAATTCATTACAAATGAAGGCCCATATGATCATACGCACTTCTCAGAAGGACTCGTATCTCTTCACCAATTGCCAATTGAACTTGATTTTTATGCAAAAACATCCAAGCCCAAGTCTGAGATAAATCATTACAAATGAAGGCCCATATGATCAGTCACTCCAAATTTCCAACAACTTTCCAATTCAAGATTTTGAATATAATGAAACTGTTTTTGGGTCTTGTGTATAACAGAAGTCATAAAATCCTAAGCTTTACCCGCACAAAATCCATCAAGGAGATGAACAAATTCTCTGTTTTTCTTTTTTCTAAGTACAAAACAGTTACATACAAAGAGTAAAAAGCAGAGGAACATCCAACAATGACTGATCTTCCCATGCCCTCCACCATCAAATCCGTATTTCTTCCAATGTTCTGAATAGACCGATTTCCCGGTTCAACCTGAGAAGCTGGACTGACAAAAGAAGATTGGTCAGGAAACGGGGAGTGGGGACAGAGAAACAACAGATTCATATAAGAGCTCTCTCATGAATGTATAAAGCTCACCTGTCTATTGCTTAACTTTCAAAGTAGTTTCAATTCGTTCGACAAGCTGATCGGCAGTCAAAGCACCCTCCTGCAAGGAATGAAATCAATTTTCAGAATCCGAAAAAAGAAGAAGTCAAATTAGAAGAAGAAAACCAATATCAAACTGATGATGGTAATGATTATTCTAGTGATGGTTTAAATACATGGCACAGAGAACATACATAATTTATTTAGCATACATTCTTCATAATTTAGCATGTAAATCAGACAAAACAATGAAAAAAAGAATGCAAAGGGACACACCTGATGAAATTGGACAAACCAAAGCACATGCATAGTTATATTACAAAATCTAAAAAGTGAAATTAACATCAATTCATAACAGCAACAACAATAACGATACCCCTCCATGTACTCAAAAAAAGTAAAAGAAAACAATACCGCTCCATATTCTGGCCCTATGTACAGGAAGCAATCACTATGAGAAATTATGGGAGATATTACACATTTCCAGGTATGTGATCATCTACCAGAGGCAAACTAATCATCTATAAAAGTGAGCAATATTTTTCAGGAAAGAAGAAAGCAAATTCAACTTACAAAGCGGTCATATGGTTCTCCATCCTTAAATATGATAAAAGTAGGCAATGCCTGTATGTTGTATTTATCAGCAATGCTAGGATACTTCTCGGTGTCAATTTTCACCACCTGGATCTTGTCATTCAGAGTAATACTCACTTCATTGAGGATAGGAGCCATAAATTGACAAGGACCACACCTGTCAACCGCAGATTTTGTTACTCAGATGTGTTACCTTCCTTTCAAGGCAGAGATAGAGAGAGAGAGAAGGGGACCTAATAGGTGAACAGTTATCATCTTGTTCAGGAAGTCAAGTTTTTACTGACAATATAACAATAATTAGGAAGTTACAAATGGTTATAGTAGTTTGAAAGTAACTCATTCTGCATAGATCAATTAAAATGGCTATACAGCCTCGTAGCATTATAGGACCATTTCAACTCACGATCCCTTGTCGATAATTTAAATGAAGGGCTTTTCTCTTACACGCATGAGAGAAAAAACACCTTTATGTGCATTATAATATTCATAATTAGAAAATTTCTGTATGAATGAAATAAGAAGTGAAATAAACAAGAAAGCTTACCAGGTTGCATAGAAGTCAACCAAAACAGGTTTGTCAGAAGTAGCCAGCAAATCCTCAAAGGAGGAAAATGTTTGCTTCTTTGCTGCAACCTAGTAATATCAATTTTTTCAAAATAAACATGTAATTAATGTATCACCAATTCAGTCAAACTTCCTAAATTCAGATAGGCTACGTATTCAAAAGACAGCAAAGAAACAGTAAATGAAGTCATTGAAATAGTCACAACAACTTCCAGAAGAATAACTACATAACTGAAAAGTCATCATCCCCGATGAAATCTTCCCTTGTAGTTTGAGGGAATGCTAATAGCAATAAGAGGAACAATACTAGAGGGGTATAAATAATTGGCTTCTAAATTAGTTGATTAAAGAGCATGTGACTCAATGCATAATGTTGGATACATGGCTTTCATCACATCACTAGCACAAATATTTACAAGAGATTTCTTCTTATATATATAAAGAAAAAATCTTAACAAGATATTTCCAAAATTAAAGTTTTAGAATCTAATCTATACCTTCCAACCCATTCTTTCATCAATAACATACCTTCCAACCCATTCTTTTAATTATTTTTTCTCTAGGCACCCCCTCCCAATTTTATTCCCAAACAGTCGACATGAAAAGGTACTTTCTGTGGCAAAAGGGTAGATCAAATTGTCACGACATAAACATTGACGATTGACCTGACAATGGACATCAAGAATACCCTAAATAGGGGACAATATTGTGAGTTCTTATCATTTTTCAAAGGTTTGGTGCCAATTTAGTTCACTGATAAGGTTAGAGATAACTGAGTGCTTCCAAATTAATCCCACTAACATTTTCAAAAATAATCCACAAAGAGTTCCATGCCCTTCTTAAGCTCTGTAAAAATATCTGTTTGTCCTCTGGTACCACCATAGTAAATCTGTGTCTTGAGTAGCTTAACCACATAGCCAGCGAGACAGGAGGATAAAGCCATATTATGTCAGCATACCATGGTGCGTATACCGGAAAGTACATGTAGTGAGGCTTATAGTCCAGAGAAATGAGATGGCTACTATAGTTATATAATCTATCATGGGAAAAACGAAGAAACTTATTACAAAGGGATCAAATGGAGACTGCTATCCAATAGTTTTTTGTTCAATGTATGGTGAATATCTTTAATCAACATTTGCACTTTTTTTTGCAATGAATGGTATGTGCTTTGGAAAAAAGATGGAAACAAACAATTAGTTGTATGTTGTGATATTCAAAACTCTGCAATTTGAAAGCAAATAGTAATTTTAAATGCAGCCACAGACAAGGATACCTTTCTAATAGTCAGAATTCATTCCTTCTGCCTACTGCTTACGTTGCAGCGTTAAAAAAGAATACAGACACATCAAATGATCACCATTTCAATACTCCAACTATCTACCTGTGAGTTAGCTATGTGACTAAACCTTCTTATGAATATTAACTCTCACTTACACATAATCAGCTTTCTTCTCCCAAAAAGGACTCCTATTTGGAAATCCCAAAAACCCCATGCTGCTTTTGGTTTTCTCAGAACTTCAAGAAAAAGCAAGGGGCAAAGTAATAGCAGTTATTGGTGTTGCGTTATAAACATTTTAACAATAAGTTTCCAGCTCCCAGTTATATGCCCTGTAATTTTATTTTTGTGTTTACAATCAAATTAATTAGTGAAGTTAAACACAATTCTAACCATAAACAATTAAGTTTTACCATAAAACAGAGAAATATAATCGCAACTCAGGTTAAAAGAGCTGAACTTGCAAGCTTCACAATTTTCAGGTATAATTCCTCGAGTTTCTCGGGAAACAAACAAAGCATGAGACTAGGAAATTTGAAAAAAAGATTACCACAGGAAGAATCCGAGGCCGTGAGGGAGTCGAGACTCCACTTCTTCCGATCCGAACACATCGAAGCTGTACAGGAACTTGCAGAGAAGACGATGAAGATAGCTTTGAACAAGACGCCGAGGATGAAGAAGTCGCAGCTATGCGAGTCGTACGGTCAGAGCTGAAAGAAGAAATTGTGGATGCCGTAACAGAAACCGCCATTTGGATGCTCCGGTCACAGAGATTTTAGCCCCACGAATTTTCTCTCCTTAGCTGCTGTCTGGATAATCGGAAAAGACAATGAAAGAAAATACTTCCAGCGAAGAACACTAGCGCTCCCGGCTCGCCAAGAGGAGTAAATAATATCCTGTGTCTGCAGGTGGATGAAGCTATGAAGGTTCTTGATTACGAACCGTTCGATTGTTGGAACAATTAAAGCTCGTTGACTTTGGGGTTTTTTTGGGGAATTTAAGAGCTGGTTGACTTGTTGAATAGACTTCGCCGATTCGTTCATTTCTTTCGAAGTGACCTAATTGAAGATTCGGTCATTTAGCTGTTGCCCAATTCCCAAGTTATTGGATCTCACGCGCTATTACAGGCGTGACGCTGCACTCTCCTTCACCTCTTCGTTAATTTTAGTTTTAATTTTAATTTTAATTTAACTTTAAAAATAAATAAAAAACATTTTGCTACATGGCAAACTAAAATTTGTATAGTAATTGTTACTCAAAATAATTTAATATTAAATCAATGTGGTTGGTGTGAGTGGTTCGGCACTCTCATTTCTTAAGAGAGGTAAGGGGTTCGATCCCTGCTCTCGTATGGAGTCACCACTTTGACCAGCACTTTACCCCTTACGGGCTGACCCGGTGTGAGCAGTGATTAGTATGGGTTGTGATTAAGACTTAAAGGTGCTACCCATAGTTGGGGCCCATCTAGGACCACCTCGTGGTTCAGAACAAAATAATAATAATAATAATAATAATATTACATTATTCCTATTTTAAATTATGTTATTATGCTTATAATGAATACGAGATCCCATTCTAAAAATTCATGGAATTTAATACTAGAAATGAAAATAAATTTATTAGGAGACCAAAAGGAATTTTGTTTTTCAAAAGCACAAATATAAAAGTATAATTGTCATTACCTTTCACCAAAAACAAAAGCAAAACTCCCATTTGGGCATTTTAGAAACGCAAGAGAATGAAAAGCTCATTTCTTCCTTTCTCATGTTTGCAAAACCATGTGTAATTTTCGGTTTCAGTTTGAGGGGTGAACCGAACTAAACTAGACCATGCCCGCCCCTCCATTTCATAGTTATTCATATTAACAAGAGAATGAAATAAAAGCCTAAGATGTAGTTCTGACCAACAACATATCAGTGTGAAAAATTAAGTAGAGAGTCCGAATTAATTACTTTTGGATCCACTCACTAGCTTTATGCCTTTGATTTCTAAAGATTCTCTCTATATATCTTGAGAAAACCTTAACCTGCTACAACACGAACAATTCTTCACAAAATTTTACAATACAAGGAACTACAAGCTCTAACCCCCTAAAATCATGGAAGGAAATCATGAGCAGAAAATTATCCATCGGTTGTCAATGTCAAGGCGAGAACAACAATGACGATTGCAGTGATTATGATAGCACAAGCAAATATCCACATACCCGTGCTTGGCCCTTTATTACTCAGGCTCTCTTGACTTCCCAACTCAACCCCTCTGAGAAGCTCTCTCACTTCATCTATGTCGTAGTCCTTAGCAGCCTGGGTGAGTCGACTTTGAATCTTCTCAAGCATTGTGATCCTCCTATCTCTGGATGCATCCTTGGATGGCCACAAAAAACCTGTCATCTTCCATAGCAGGATTCCCACATAAATGGCCACAACACAATCTACGCTATAATGGTGACGTTCCCGTATTTCTCTCTGTGCAGCATGCCCGACAAGTGACCATATGAGAACTGAGCTAAAACCACCATAAGCTTCCTGCAACATTTGATCAGATTTATAGAAATCAACAATCAACAGCACAAGTAGGTTGCATCTTAGACATCAAGTGGCAATGGCCACAAATTTCAAAACACATAATAGGTAGTACCGTCCAAGCCATAGCTGTCAACACAGCAACTAGCATGTGCCCACTGTACATGAGGTCATTGCAGCCGCCTCCTGCATTCTTCAGTAAATTATACCATGGTCCATCCGATTCACTGGGTCGCAAGAAATCTATTAGGAAGCTCATTGGACCCCAATCCGGCCGGAAGTCCCCAAGTAATTTTCCAGTATCAGCTGCAGGAAACAAATGAAACATGTTGTAACATATACTGCCACCTGATCCTAAAAGGTGAACGTATTTGCGGTAGAAAAGGGAGCGGCATTAGAGGAATACTGTATAGGAAAATGCTGTACAACACAACTCTTTTTTTCCTGAACTCTCACATGGGGACCATGAAGGACCCTATCCTTGTGTGAGAATTGGGAAAAGACTTCTGAATTTATAACTCATGCCCAGCTCATACCAAACTTGGGTCAGAGGGTCAGATAGTAAATGGTCTTTTGGTCGTACAGTTGCAATCAAGAAAATGAAATCCAGGGGGTTCGGATCAAGAAGAAAAGGAACCTATTGAGTACTTACCAAAAGCTATATCCTGTCGTAACAACTCACGAATAGCATTAGCATCTGAAGCATAAGGAACATAATATTTCTGAGCCCAGCGATGAGGATATAAAGGGACATCGAAACGAGCAGTAGCACACCAAGGCCGGGCTGATGGCAGAACTGTTGATACAAAAGTTATGGCACGAAGAAGGCGGCCAATAGCCATGGTGAACATATAGCGTGCACCTAGTCCAAGGCCAGGAGCTTTCACAGAGTCAAACAGAACGGAAAAAGCCAACATCACAAACAACATGAGGAAATGGTGCAGTCCAATAATACGGGCTCTCAATATTTCAACTAATGGATGAGGAAGCTTCTCATTCAGCGCCAAAAGCAACCACTGGCCAGTGTCGGGAAGAGGAGATGTATGACTGAAGTGCCAAACATTAAAAAAGCCAATTATTCTTCCCTCTTGTTAAATACTTATCTAAAAATTATGGCTAATTTCATGAGCAATGAAACAGTATCGTCTACGAAAAGATGCTATGAAATATAAGAAAGCAGAAATCATAAATCATCTGATAAACCCCACATATCAATCTCAAATTATCACACAATGCACAGGGCCTTTATTTAAAAGAGAGCAAATGAAAAATGTTACTTATCTTTGCAAAATTGACTATAAAAAATATCAGCATGATCTTTTTCTGTGTTTTTCAAATTCTTTTTGTTTGGTTTATATTACATTACACTGTGACCCATTCCCTAACAGTTAAAGCTTTTGTGGTCCAGTGGTCGTCTAACTTTCATGCTGGAATATGCATTTATATTGAAGCACACAGTTTTACAGCCAAATAAGCGCTAACAGGCATGGAGCGAACATGCATAACCATAACAAAGCACCTCCATAATTTCATCATTAAGCCACTTTACGGACAGAACCATATCAGACCTTCCAGATGACTAGCGAATGTGTGAGAGAAGCAAAATTGCTTATTTAAGAACTTGATATTTATGCAAGAAACCATGATTTTCATTTGTCTGAGTCCTTAAAGAAGCTTTGGAAGATGATTTATGGGAAGGACTAAAGGACTGGAGTAAATGAAATGGAAATTGATGCTTGCGTGTACAAATTGAACAGGTACAGGATGGAAGCTTGCAGGGGCAGCTGATGAAGGTGTTCCAATGGTGCTGTGAACAGCAACAAACTTGATAACTTCCAGAAGGATGTAAAGAGGACCAACAAGCCCCCCAATAGCAATTTTACAGTAACAAGAACCAAATAGAAACTGTGCAGCAGAACCCAAACAACAATGCCGAAAAAGAAACAGAGGGATGACACCACAAATACTTTTACCAGGGACATTCAATTGGAACAAATCTTCTGTGGAAAATTTAAAGGATGAAAGGAAGGAGGTGCCGAGCTATGCATAAGTTATAAAAATTTCAAAAAGAGATTGTATACTATATATGTTGCTGTGGTACGCCAATCTCATCTATTAATTTCTCATTATAGGAAGGTATGGCCTTAGTAACCCTAGCCTCCTGCAACATTTGGCTTTTTCTTTCTCTGAATATTGCTGACTTTGTCAGAGTCAGCATTTGGCCTACAATCAACTGGCCTAGCAAGCTTTAGCCTGACTGAATGGCCATGGAGCAGCTCGGGCCTGGAAAATTTCACTTCTTCCTCAACGTACGAATACTATGAGGGATGAAACATGTTTCAATAGGTTAAGCAATTTGATAGTTTTTCTACTATAGGTAAATCCAAGTTTCTTTATCTGGAAGACAAATTATTATTATGTAATTTGTATCTCTAGCTATTTAGTCTCTTGTTCATTTTTCTAACATATTTGGGAAAAGTTTAAAGAAATACTTGATGTATTTGAAGTTTTAACAGAATTGTATCATTATCATTTGTGTGTTTTTATCAAAATTTTATTTAGTACTTATATTTTATCAATACTTTAGTACACCTCGGACCCTCGAATCATATACTTTCTGGCTACTGTTTATGGAACCACATGAAATAATTTATGCAATAGCTTATCCAACATGACCAATCTTTATTATATGATCTAATACTTATTCATTAAAAGATTTATGACATTGCATTTTCATGATAATAGCCAAAAACATTCCTGGAAAAAGGTTTAGAAGACTCAAATGAAAAAATCTTACCTTAAATATATGAAAATACTGTATAGACTAACATGCAAGGGTGGAACCAGGAATCTATAGAAGCATCGGAAATGTTTTTATTTTTAATGTTTCTCTTGGAGCATGGAGTGTGCTTTAGATGTAGGATGGGCAACATGTTTGTTTTTGGCAATATAAGGCGGAATATTAGTACTCATTTTTTATCCCTAATAGATGCAATGTGCTACATGCCAAGGGCTGTAAATGGTAGTCAACAAAGTAACTCTGAAGCAATGGGTTCACCAACTGAAGAAGGGAACAAATTTTCCCAGACCAAAATTGAACCACAATTGCTATTGTAACTCGTAAAACCCAGTTGCTTTGTCCATGCGCTCTATCACAACAAGTGGCACTGGAAGGACATTGCAATAGGATGGGTATTAATGGGTAGAAACTAAGTTCAAATCTCCTTCCTTGTAAGCCAAAGAAACAAAAGGAAAAAGGCAGTTCCTTTAGAACAATTATTAATAAATAATATCATTAATGAACATTTCATTTGATATCTTTAATCATCATCTGAGTATTAATTCTAAATTTGGCATCTCTGATC